TCATTGCCCCATTTTTGTATGGGGTTGGATGTTTTCTTCTTGTGGAGTTTAACCAGTATTTTGTATATCCTGGATATCAACCCCTTGTCAGATGTGTATTCGGTGAATATCCTTTCCCATTCTGTAGACTGTCTTTGTATTTTGGTCACTGTTTCTTTGGAGGTGCAGAAGCTTCTTAGTTTAAGATAGTCCCATTTATCTATCTCTGTTTTCACTTGCTCGGCCAGTGGCGTGGCATCTTTGAAGATACCATTAGCTTCAATGTCATGGAGGGTTTTGCCAACTTTATCTTCAATGTACCTTATGGTTTCTGGTCTGATGTTGAGGTCTTTAATCCATTTTGATCTTACTTTTGTACATGGTGTTAGGCAGAGTTCTGAGCCTATTTTTTTGCATGTAGCCGTCCAGTGATGCCAACACAATTTATTAAAGAGGCTTTCCTTACTCCACTTCACATTACTTGCACCTTTATCAAAGATTAGATGAGCATATGATTGAGGGGAGATGTCAGTGTATTCAACCCTGTTCCATTGGTCTGCAGTTCTGCCTTTGTTCCAGTACCATGCTGTTTTAATTATTACTGCTTTGTAGTACAGTTTGAAGTTCGGGAGGTTGATTCCTCCCATTTTCTTTTTCCCAAGAATTGCTTTAGCTATTCGTGGGGGCTTATTGTTCCATATAAATTTCAAGAGTGTTTGCTCCATTTCTTTGAAGAATGTCATGGGTATCCTTATAGGGATTGCATTGAATTTATACAATGCTTTCGATAGTGTTGCCATTTTGACAATGTTAAGTCTACCGACCCATGAGCAGGGGATATCTTTCCATTTCCTCATGTCCTCTTTTATTTCCTGAAGTAGCGTTTTGTAGTTTTCTTTGTACAGGTCCTTTACTTCCTTAGTTAAGCTGATTCCTAGGTACTTGATTTTCTGGGGCACAATTGTGAGTGGGATTGTTTTTTTCATGTTGCTTTCTTCTCTCTCACTGTTTGCGTATAGGAAAGCCATGGACTTTTGGGTATTGATTTTATAACCTGCAACTTTACTATACGAGTCTATTGTTTCTAGGAGTTTTTTGGTGGAAGTTATTGGGTTCTCTAAGTAGAGTATCATATCATCTGCGAATAGTGAGAGCTTGATTTCTTCCTTTCCTACCTGAATGCCCTTAATATCTTTTTCCTGCCTAATCGCTATTGCAAGTACTTCCAGTACTATATTGAACAGCAGTGGAGAGAGTGGGCATCCCTGTCTCGTCCCTGATCTTAGAGGGAAGGCTCTCAGTTTTTCCCCATTGAGGATGATGCTTGCTGTAGGCTTGTGGTAGATGGCTTTAATTATGTTGAGGAAGGTCCCCTCTATACCCATTTTGGCTAGGGTTTTCATCATAAAGGGGTGCTGGATCTTATCAAATGCTTTCTCTGCATCTATTGATATGATCATATGCTTTTTATTTTTTCTTTTGTTGATATGGTGGATTATGTTGATTGATTTCCAAATGTTAAACCATCCTTGCATCCCTGGGATGAATCCTACTTGGTCATGGTGTATGATCTTTTTGATGAGTAGTTGGATTCTATTTGCTAGTAGTTTGTTGAGGATCTTTGCATCTGTGTTCATCAGGGATATCGGCCTGTAATTCTCTTTCTTTGTGGTATCTCTGTCTGCTTTTGGTATCAGTGTGATATTTGCTTCGTAGAAACTGTTCGGAAGTGTTTTTGATATTTCAATTTCGTGGAAAAGCTTAAAGAGCATCGGGAGTAAGTCCTCTTTAAAGATTTGGAAGAATTCACTAGTGAATCCATCCGGGCCAGGACTTTTGTGCTTGGGGAGACTTTTTATTACCATTTCAATTTCCTTGATGGTGATAGGTCTGTTCAGGTATTCCAGGTCTTCTTGGTTCAGCCTTGGGAGTCTGTAGGAGTCTAGGAATGTATCCATTTCCTCGAGGTTTTGATGTTCCGTGGCATAAAGCTTCTCAAAGTACTCCCTGAGGATCCTCTGAATTTCTGTGGTTTCTGTTGTAATGACCCCCTTTTCATTTCTGATTCAGTTTATTAGGGTTTTCTCTCTCCCTTTCTTTGTGAGTTTTGCTAGAGGCTTATCGATCTTGTTAATTTTCTCAAAGAACAAGCTTTTGGTTTCATTGATCTTTCGGATTGTTTTTTGGGTTTCCATCTCGTTAATCTCTGCTCTGAGTTTTATTATTTCCTTTCTCCTGTTCGGGTTGTGCTCCTTTTTTTGGTCCTTCTCCAAGCTCTTAAGCTGTGAGGTTAGGTTACTTATGTGTGCTCGCTCCTCCTTCCTGAGGAATGCTTGTAGAGCTATAAACTTTCCTCTTAACACAGCCTTTGCTATGTCCCATAAGTTTTGGTAACTCGTGTTCTCATTTTCATTCGTTTCTAGGAATCTTTTGATTTCCTCTTTGATTTCCTGTCTAATCCACTTGTTGTTCAGTAGTGCACTGTTTAATTTCGAGGTGTTTGATTTAGTTTTCTGTTTTTGTGTGTGATTTACTTCTAATTTCAGTGCATTATGGTCTGAGAAGATTGTCGATACAATCTCTACCTTCTTAATTTTATGGAGGCATGTTTTGTGGCTCAGCATGTGGTCTATCTTGGAGAATGTTCCATGTACGCTTGAGAAGAATGTGTATTCAGCTTTTTGTGGATGAAGTGTCCTGTATATATCTACTAAGTCCCTTTCTTCCATTGTTTCCCTCAAATGAAGTATGTCTTTGCTACGCTTGAGTCTGGTTGATCTATCAAGAGGTGACAAAGCAGTGTTGAAGTCTCCCACTAGTATTGTGTTGCTATTGATGTCTTTTTCCAAATCTATGAGTAGTTGTTTTAAGTACTTTGCTGGTCTCTCATTAGGTGCATATACATTTATTATTGTAAGTTCTTCCTGTTGTACAGATCCTCTGATCAATAAGAAATGGCCTTCACTGTCTCTTATGACCTTCCTCACTCTGAAATCGATGTGGTCTGATATAAGGATGGCTACCCCAGCTTTTTTATGGGAGCTGTTTGCCTGTAGGATTGTTTTCCAGCCTTTGACTCTGAGTCTGTGTTTGCTTTGACTATTGAGATGCGTTTCTTGCAGGCAGCAGAATGTTGGGTTCAATTTTCTAATCCATCCTGCCACTCTACGTCTTTTAATTGGTGCGTTTAGGCCATTGACATTGAGAGAGATTATTGTTATGGGATTTTGTCCCATTGTTCTGTTAAAATTTGGTGTATTTGAGGGGCCTTTCTTGCCTTAAAACTCAGTTTTAATGGTGCTTCCTCAGCAGGGCAATCTGGGCTCTCCTTAACAGGACACGCTGTGCTCACTAGGGGGAGCCCTATAGGCGTCATGTGCTGTGAATAGTTTCCCTAAACACATTCACATGAAGGGCTCCTCTTCATTCATAACCATGACTACTGGCTCAAGAGTGATTAAACGGCCCAAAAGGAGAGAGAGAGAGAGAGAGAGAGAGAGAGAGAGAAAGAGAGAGAGAGAGAGAGAGAGAGAGAGAGAGAGAGAGAGAGAGAGAGAGAAAGGAAGTTGCCTGCCACAGAGGCAGGGCGTGGGTTGAGATGGGGGTGGCAGGAGGGATACTGGGGACTTTGGTGGTGGAGATCATGCACTGGTGGAGGGATGGGTGTTCAATCATTGTATGAGTGACACTCAATCATGAAAACTTTGTAACTATCTCACGGTGATTCAATAATTTTTTTTTTTTAAAGAAGGGCTGGAGCAACAGCACAGCGGGTAGGGCGTTTGGCTTGCATGTGGCCGACCCGGGTTCAATTCCCAGCATCCCATATGGTCCCCTAAGCACTGCCAGGAGTAATTCCTGACTGCACGAGCCAGGAGTAACCCCTGTGCAAAGCCGGTGTGACCCAAAAAGCAAAAAAAAAAAAAAGAGTGATTAGAAGACAACATGTGCGTGAGAAATCCTTGTTAATAGCATTGTAAACCACAAGATCTTAATAAAAAATATTTAAGTACAAATAAAAATAAGGACTCTAGGGCTTCAGTGCTCTACCCAAACCCACAGTGTACTACAAAAACATACTGGTGCACTCCCTGTGCTGAAATGAGATATTGATTCCCATTCTCTGTCACTTCTACTGCTGGTGATTCCATCAGTACCAACTCTAAAATTTCATCCCTAGGATGAGGTGGAGGAAGAAAGAGGAAAAAGAGCCCCAGGGCCCTGGGCTAGGAATACAGGGGAATGTCTCATGGAGAAGTGAGATACGAGGAAACAGTGACATTAGGGGATGGAGGTCAAATGAGGTGGAAAGGGAAGAAGCAGAGCAAAGGGGCAGGGAAGGGCCAGCTAGTGGACACCTGTGGAGAGGGATGGATTCTGTGTGGATCAGACACAGGAAGGCAGAGTAACTGAGTCTGTTTGTCTTCTGAGGTCAGTTATTGGATCAGGAGTTTCCTCTGTAATTGACGGAAAACTATAGTTGACTCTCAGACATTTCCCCGTGCTTTGAAGTATGAAATAACTCAGACACAGGGAAGAGTAGAGAATAGGGGAAAGGAGAGGAGAGGAAGGGAAGGGAAGGGAAGGAAACTGGAGTTGAGGAGAGGGGAGAGGACAGAAGATATTAAGGACTTTTCCCCTCTAGAGTAAGACCAATTTACGATGATGGGAGAATAAAGGGACCCAGAGGGCAGGAGGAAGCAAGGCCTGTGCAGCCTCGAGGGCTCATCCCTGGACACTGGTCCTTGAGTTTCCAGAGTTTCATAGAATGTGAAACTGACAGTTGTAGGCCATGGCATGTGCTACCGAGAAACTTTTGTGGGAGAGGGGACAAAAAAGTCTAGCATCTGAAAGGTGGTAATGTGTTATTTAGGAAATCCTGCCAGGAGAAGTACTGTAAATCAAAGTGCAAAACTGAAAATAGCTGGTGCTGGAGTGATACTACAATTTGTGGGGCATCTGCTTTGCTCATAGTCAACCTCACACCTAGTCCCTCCACTCGCCTCCATTCTCTCTTTGAGGGGCTGGTGGGGATTTCGTTGAGCTGCGCCTGGGGGTAGCCCCTGAACATCAGTGACCCTAAGGACATGGCGGTGGCCAAGCGTTACATCTAGTTCTGCCTGGGCTGGTTTGCCAACCCCATTTATGCTGGTGACTACCCCCAAGTCATGAAGGACAAATTGGTGAGCCAAGCCACATCCTATTATGGAACTTTCTGTTTTGTTATTTTGGACCTCACCCAGCAATGCTCAGTGCTCACTACTGGCTCTGCACTTAGGGATCACTCCTGGTGAGACTCAGAGGGTCAGATGTGGTGCTGGGGATCAAACCCAAGTCAGCTATATGCAAAGCAAATGTCCTACCTACTGTACTATCTCTCCACAATCACTCCCGCCCCTTGCCATTTTTTTTTCCTGGATAGAGTCAGGTGTAGTTTGGGATTTCGCTTAAGTGGTTGGATGCATGTCTTGAATATATGACGTTTGATTCAAGGGCTGGAAAGATACTGCAGTGGATAAGGTGCTTGCCTTGGACTCAGCTGGTCCGAGTTCAATCCCCAGCACCAATGATGGTTTTACAGTGCCTCCAGGAGTTATCCCTGACCACAGAACCAGAGGATAAGTCCTGAGCACTGCTGGCTGTGCCCCCTTCCACCCAATGATTCAAATGTGAAACTGACTTGAAGGGAAAAGATAACTGAAGGTCTGGGACGGGCTCACTAGAAGAAAAGGCAGGAACCAAAAAAGGAATCAGGCTGATACGTGTTTATTGAAAATACTTCCTGGGGCTGGAGAGACAGCACAGCGGGTAGGGCGTTTGCCTTGCAGGGGAAGACCCGGGTTCGATTCCCAGCATCCCATATGGTCCCCTGAGCACTGCCAGGAGTAACTCCTGAGTGCAGAGCCAGAAGTAACCCCTGTGCATCGCCGGGTGTGACCCAAAAAGGAAAAAAAATGAAAATACTTCTGAGGAGTACAGTGGACACACACTCAACATGTGTCCTGGGGTCGATGTATACAGGAGTTCTGGGGAGAAATGCATGATTAGAGGAGGTTCCTTTGCTTTTGAAAGGTTCCAGGAATTAAGAAATCCCAGGGTGGTCTCACAATGCAGGTCCTTCTACCTGAGCTCACCTATCAGTAAGATTCTCCATGTCAATGAATCCCACAGCCCAGCATTGAGATAGCAGCTTTAGCCAGAATCCTGGCATGATTATAGCACAGAAAATGACTGAGAAACCCTCTGTCCCTCTCCCGTTTCCCTGCCACTAGGACATGTCCAGGCTCCCGAGTTTCTTGCACCAGGAGAAGAGCTTCATCAGAGGCTCCTCTGACTTCCTGGGATTAGACCTTCTTGCTACATCACTGCCCGCAAACACCCCTCACACCTCAGGCCCAGCTACTGGAATGATTGCGACCTGATGGAGCTGGTTGACCCCTCGGGGCCTGAGATGGATTCCGCACGGCTCCATTCTGCACCATGGGGGCTCAGGAGGCTCCTCAACTTTGCTCAGGTGGGTCACGCGTTAATTAAAGGGCAATTTTCTGCTGCATGCAAGGCAAACACCTTACCCACTGCTTCGGTCCCTTAGGTTTTGGGGTCACTCCCATTGGTGCCCAGGTATCACTCCTGAAAATGCTCAGGAAACCACCTGGGGTGCCAGGAATAAAACCTGGGCTGGCCCACTGTACTATCACTCTGGCTCCAGTGCCTACATTTTCAGTTACGTAGACCTCAGAGCCTGACATACGCCTTACCTAAAATCCTGTTTGACTAATACAGATGTAATTTTTCCTTAGCAAAAATTCTGATTCCCTATTTACTCTGCTGCACTCTCATCTAAAATGTGATGTGGGAAGGAATAAGACCTAAAGTATTCCTCTAAAATGGTGCTGATTTATGTCCCTGGACCGATAGCACAGCAGATAGGGCATTTGCCTCGCATGCGGTCCACTTGGGTTCGATCCTCGGCATTCCATGTGGTCCCACAAGGACCACCAGGAGTGACCCCTGAGCATTGCTGGATGTGGCCCCAAAACTAGAGAAAATGGAAATGATTTTATTGATTTATTGTCATCTTTTGCTTGAACTTGCCTGTTGCCTATATTCATCTCTGAATAATGTAAAAGGTCGCCCGTGAAACTAGGACACAGAAGGCTGTGTTCTTACAGGTGCCTTCCTCGAAGACCTGCCTGCAGGTGAGAAAGTAATACAAGTCCGGTCACAGTGATGGTTCAGCAGGGAGGGCGCTTGCTTTGTACCATCCTGATTTGATCCCTGACATCCCATATGGTCCTCAGAGCACTGCCAGGAGTAAGCCCTGAGCATCACCAGATGAGGCCCAAAAACCAGTATGAGTAAAAAGAAAGAAGGCATGTAATGCACTGTGTGACCCCAGCAGACTCAGTACAGCAACCTTCCCATATATGTAACAGAGAATGGAGTGCCTCAGAAATTTCACTGGACTCAATTATGTGATGAGTGGAGGATTCAGTACCTCAAAGGCCACATAAATGAAATGCTAAAAGGTGAGATACAAATCAAGACTGTCTTCACATATTTTCTGTGTAATATACACATATTGGCCAAGTTTCTTGGACAAATCTTGGTAACATATCGTCGACTGAAATTTATTCCCAAATTTCAGATGAAGAGCTGGAGAGATAGTATAGTACTATCTCTGTAGGTAGGGTGCTTGTCTTGCACAAGGCCAGCCCGGGTTTTATCCCTGGTACTCCACAGGGGCCCTTAAGGGATGCCAGAAATAAGCCTTGAGCATGACTGGGTGTGCTTACCTGCCCCCCATCAAAATAAACAAAGTAAAAACATTCAATTTCAAATAAAACCATATGAGATCATCTTTTTGTATTTGGACCAACTCAGCAGTAATGGGGGCTACTTATGTGTGTGTGTATATCTGTGTGTGTGTGTGTGTGTGTGTCACCTTTTAGCATTTTATTTATGTGGCCTTTGAGGTACTGAATCCTCCACTCATCACACAACCTGGGCTGGAGTGATAGCACAGTAGGTAGGGTGTTTGCTTTGCATACGGCTGACCCGGGTTCGATTTCTATGCCCCTCTTGGAGAGCCCGGCAAGCCCGGCAAGTATACTGCCCACACGGCAGAGCCTGGCAAGCTCCCCCTGGCGTATTCGATATGCCAAAAACAGTAACAAGTCTCCCAATGGAGACATTACTGGTGCCCGCTCGAGCAAAAAGATGAACAACGGGAGGACAGTGCTACAGTGCAGAGCTACATACACATACTTTCCCCAAGGCTGGGGATTGAACCCAGACCGAGAAGCTACAAGGTTCTACCACGTGTCACCATCCACATCCCAGATCCTTTCTGCTTCACAATATTATAGAAATGAACAACGGGAGGACAGTGCTACAGTGCTTCCTCCTTTTAAGGATAATCAGAAACCTATTTCTTCTCTTTAAAAAAAATCCAACTAACTCAATATGTCACAGTAGTAGAAAGTGTTAAACCAAATCCAGCCAACTCAGCTACTGTCACAGGCTAGCAGGCCACTATCCCCTCTTCCCTACTCAGACAACCCAACAACTGAGCTACACTCAAACTAAGATGAAATTAGTGCAGACACGATGCGGGAATGACCGCGCGGCCAAGGCACCCCTCAGGATAGGTCCAGTGCTGTTCATTCCGGGAACACGGTTTCTGGCAGAGGTGAAAAGCAGGCCTGGCATCTAAGTGTCCACACTCTTAACACGCACGAAATAGGTTCACACGTGATTCTTCTCACTTATGTTAAGAGTTATCATAAAAAAAGGGGGGGACATACCCAGATGTGCTGAGGGCTTACTCCTAGCAGGAGTTCAGAGGACCATATATGGTGCTGGGACTGAACTTGGGTCCTCTGTGTGCAAGACAAATGTCCTACCTGCTGTATTAACTCTCTAGCACCACCATGAAAAATTTAATTTGGAAACCAAAACTGTAGAGAATGGAACCTGGAGGCGAATATTCTTGGTTTAATTTAGAGTCAACACAGCTGCTAATCTGCACGCATTAGACTTTATAGTACAGTATCAAAGGAAGGACTGTTCAGGCATTCTTTATCCCATTGTCTCCAGAAATGTTTTACAAAGCCCTCACATACCTTTTTATAAGGTTCAGTCCACCAGGCTCACTTTCATGGCAAACAAGACCGAGCAGAGAGTTTAGGGATGCCTTCTAAGTTTCCCAGGCAGAGTCAGGCTTGCAGACGAAGCAGTGCAGGAGGCTCAGCTCTGGCCTTCTTCCCTTTCAGTAGCTCTTCGAGGCTCCATGCAGATGGTGACTGAGATCGTGATCCCGACCGTCTGCACCCTCTGTGTCCTGCTCGCTGCAGTTCTCTTGATGCTTTTCCTGCAGAGACAAAGCTGAGAGGCCAATCATTTGGCAGCTTTCGGGCAGCTGTTAGAGGACAATCATTACCATTTTCCTGCTCTGCTCTGAGTGTTTATGTACATTTATTTTTAGTTGCTGTGATATTTTTTTCTGGTCCCCCCCCCCCCGGGGGAGGAGGAAGAGGAGGGATCAGATACTAGGATTTAAGAGTTAGAAAATAAAAGCAACCAAAATTTAAAGCCATCTGTAATGCTACCCCTCTCAAAGTCAATGCCTGGGGTCTTTGTTTAGTGGATTTTTGGGGGGTTGTTGGGCCACACCTGGTGATTCTTGTGGCTTATTTTGTGATTCTGTGATCAGAGGTCAGGGACCATATGGGATTCTCAAGATGGAAGCTGGGTTGATTTTGTGCAAGGCAAGTGGCCTACCCGCTCTACTATTGCTTGGACACTTCTACTACTATGCATTTATATTCAATTTACAAAAAGAGATCGTTACAAACTATTCCATGAACTATTTTCCACTCCAAGTTCTGTCCAGAAAGAGTACTTTAGTTAGAAATCACCATCTCAGTACTATTTTATACATGACAACCAATTATCTATAGATAAAATTCAGGCAACTAGGTCAAAGCATTACGTGGATATCAAGTAAATAAGCATCTACTAAGACCCTTTTCTAAGAAGAGCTAGAAAAAAAATCTCCAATCCTTTAAAATACACCTTTAGGGAGCTGGGGCGACAGTACAGCTGGTAGGGCATTTGCCTTGCACATGGCTGACCCAGGTTCAATACCCAGCATCCCATATGGTCCGCTGACCACTGCCAGGAGTAACTCCTGAGTGCAGAGCCAGGAGTAACCCCTGAGCATTGCCAGATGCAACCAAAAAGCAAAACAAAACAAAACAAAAAACCACCTTTAGCTTCATTATTTCTGTATTTAAGACAAACTTCTGTTCATTTTTAGTTTAAGGGATCACACCCAGCAGTGCTCAGGGCTGACTCCTGGTAGTGCTCAGGGAACATAGGTCAGTCACATGCAAAGCAAACACCTGAACCCATTATCTCTGGTACAAGAAAAAAACAACAAAACCAAGAACAAAAAACAAAACTAACCTGCTTATGCTAAATTCAATTTCCTTTTCTCAATAAATTACCTCAAAGAAATTTTATGGATTTAATTTATAGCTTTTCTGTTGCTGAAAGAATTCAAACGTGAGTGGCGACTCCAGCTCACAGTATCCCGAGAATGAACACACTACCTTGAACAAGCTCCACCCACAAACTTCACTTGAAATGCACTTGGCTGCTGGTGATCATGGTGGTGAAGCATGTCTTTTCTTCCAGGCTACCATTGAATGTTAGCTCAGAAAAATCTGTAACAAGAAACACAGAACTTACTGGCTTTTCTACCACAAGTACAAATGAACTTTTAGAATAATCAAAAGCAGCTGAGGGCCAGGGGGTAGCACAGCAGGGAGGGTGCTTGCCTTGCATGCAACCAAGCCAGGTTCAATCAGCACCATCAAGAGTACCCACTGAGCATCGCCAGGTGTGGCCCCGACACAAAACAAGGTAGTCGAAATCAGTGTTTCATCATTTTCTGAATATGGTCTCCTTCTGAACTTGCACTTGAGCTGTTAAACTCTCTCCAGCCCTGACTTCTAATTTTCTAGAGCTTCCTGCTTTTTTTTATATAGAGAAGATGGAACCGTCACCAGTTTCTTTAGGACTTAACAGTTCAACCATTTGAGCAGAGAGGCATCATCCCATTCTAGTTGAGGGAGGTTCCCATTTTATATATATCACAACATATATTTTTTTGGGAAAGAATAAATATTTTCTGAAAATTCTACAAGTATCAATTACAGTTACTCCCCAGCAAATTGGTATAGGTCAATAAAATCTTCTATTTGCCTTGAACCGCTAAAATTTGATTCTGCATAACCCTTGCAGTACTAGAAGGCCCTTACCCAGCCCTTACACATAGAGGACAGCACCGTCCAGAGAAGCAGCATATGCATGAAACTTCTTGGGCGACTTACCGAAGGAGGGCAGTTTGGTGAGAGCTAGTAACACAAAAACCTAACATGTCTATAACTGGCATGAGCCAGGTTGGGAGAGCCTTAGAAACCAGCTGATGGGGGTCTCACACTCTCTGACTGCCCACCAGGACTTGTGGTGTAAGTGGAATTTTCACTGGGTGACCTCTCCCCCGCCCTACTGCAATGCCTCTTGCTGACCCCTTTCCACGGTCCTAATCCCTCTGCTCTGGATGAGGACAGTGCTCTTTACTGCTCGTCGTTGCCCCCCGCCCCCCCCACCACCACCCTCTCCGAATATACTCCGCACCTAGAGTTCAGGAAAATTAATTAAAGCCAGGCACGAGAGTGACAGAAATAATCTGCCACTACTTTCATTTTATTTTCCAGTGGAAAACCTTTTTCTTTTGTTTTGGGCCACAGCAGTATGTTTAGGCCTCACTCCTGGCCCTGCACTTATACCATATGGAGTATCAGGGATGGAACTTGGGTCAGCTGCATGCAAGGCAAATACCCCACCTGCTGCACTACCTCCAGCCTCCAGTACCACAAACCCTCCTTACCGACTCTGGGGGAGTTCAGATGGTCCACAGGCAGGCTGTCACTCAGCTGCCAAACAGTTTTTGCCTTCTTGTGACCACTATTTATTTCCACTCTCCATTTCTGTGGCTTCTCACTAATAAAAAAAAGATTGAAGTTGGGCTGGGGCTGGGAGTGGGGGTTCCAACCGCGGCCCTTCCCTACTGCCTCCATTTTACACCGTGTGACAAAGTTCCAAGCCCCCCCCACCCACAGCAGTCACTGGGCGGGGGGAGAGGCTCGAGGGCGGAGCATGCTGTGGATCTGCGTGGGAGCTGGGGCACCCCAAGAACCCCGACCACTCCCACCCAGACACTGTTGGGAGCGACCCCCACGATAGCAGCAACTACAGAAAAAGAGAGTCATGAGAGGGAGGGAAACTGGGATAGGAATGAGGATTCTGCGAGGAACCTGCTTGGCCTCAGAGGAATGGATGTGGAAGGAGGCCCCGGCAAGGGTGACCGAGCTCAGCAGGGGACTGCAGAGCGGGTACAGGCCCAGGCAGACATGGGAGGGCATGGACACTGTCCTCAACTGAAAAGGGCAGAGGCAGTGGTGGGGGCCCATGAGCTGGGGGCACTGAGGCAACAGAAAGCCATTTCGATAGGAGGAAGCCCTAGGGAGATCCGGATCTCAGGAAGGTAAGGGAGCAGGTGAAACAGAAAAGACCACCTGACCCTCCATATGTAGATGTAAAGACTAGTCACTACAGCAGGCAACGATGGCATGCAAGCAGACGCTGAGTGAGGCGTCTGTAGGGAGGAAGTGGCTACTGTGTACAGGGGCGTACAGGGATGCGAGTGACACGTCACACCCCGATTCATTTGGGGCATTAGGTGAAGTTTAGCAATGGTCGCCTGAGCAGAGACTTAGACCTTGTCGGGAAGAGCCTTGGGTTCTGAGCCCGCACCGCTATGGGACACAGGTGTTCGTGCTGACGCCTTGCACAGGCGCCCAGGGACCTGGGCCGTCAGCTCTGGAGCACAATGGAGATGCGAGTTGTCACCTATTGAAATCCCAAAGCAAGTCAATGTTGAGTGAATGTAATTAGTCACACAGAGAAGAGAGCAGAGGGGACAGTTCCGGTGAAAACTCAGATGAGGCGGGCAAAGGAAGCACTTGAGAGGGATTCTCAGTGGGACTGTGACTCAAGGGGTAGAGCACATCACACATGTTCCAGGCCCTGGCTCAATGTCCAGTACCAAGTGGGAGGAGGAGGAGAAAGAGGGACGAGAAGGGAGAGGGAGAAGAAGAGGAAGAAGAGGAAGAGGAAGAAGAAGAGGAAGAGAAGGTGGAGGAGCATTCTCAGTCTTGGGAGCGCAGTGAGAGACTGAATTCAAAGAAAGATCTCTACATGACAGAATAATGGACGGCCCAAGTTCAAATGTTGAAAGTCTTAACAATCTCTTTATTAAAGGAGGGAGAATTGGTGGACTAGTTCTTACATGAGAACTACCCCCCACCCCTCGGCCCCACGAAATCCACTTTGGGTGGGGGTGTGAGGGCTGGAACACTTCCCAGTGAGTTGCTCAGGGCTCATTTCTGCTGTTGGGAGACACAGGGCCTAAGCATTAGTGCCTCAATCCATCTCCCCACCCTTGAAGGTCACTGGTGACATCTGCTAAGCAACTCTGAGGGTGCTGACAAGCGAGGAGAGAAGTGAAGAGAGGAAGGAGAGATTTTCCCCCCCATAGATTAATTTTTAATAAAATGTTACAAAGTATCATTAGTGGAAGAACGATGCTCAAATGACTAGACATCCTTGGAAGAAAAAAAGCATATGAACAAAAATCCTCCTGCCATATACAAAATTTAACTCCATATATATAAAAAACTAATTGTGAATAATAAAATAAATACAAAGGTGCAAATCATTTTTCCTTTGGGTTATACAGTCTTTTCTTATATGTGGCAACTAAAGTATGAAAACTAAAAGAAAAAAATCAGTTAAATTTCATTAAAATCAATAATGTTGTATTTCAAATGACACCATCCAAGAAAACAAAACCAACCCACAGAACAGGACAAAGTATTTGCAAGTCATCTATCTGCTTAAGTATATGGAATATAGAAAATTCAAGAAAAAAATTTTTAAAAAACTGAATTAGAATTTGACAAATGACAGGGGCTGGAGAGATAGCACAGCGGGTAGGGCATTTGCCTTGCACGCGGCTGACCCGCGTTGGATTCCCAGCATCCTATATGGTCCCCTGAAGCACTGCCAGGAATAACTCATGAGTGCAGAGCCAGGAGTAACCCCTGTGCATCCCCAGGTATGACCCAAAAAGGAAAAAAAAAAGAATTTGACAAATGACAAATTACTTAAAGGTACATTTCTATCAAAAGGATATATAGCTAGCTAAGAAACTTTTTACATTGAAAATTAAAAAAGGTTAACATCAGTAGCTATTAGAGA